GAACTGCCTTCAGTAATCTCACAAAGGATGAAGCAAAGGAATCTGCTGAGGTGAATCAGGATTAGACTAATGGAAAAATGTGCAACAGATATTGATGAGTATTTATTAATGAGTTTGCTTGATGAATAGAAGGGTCTTAAGGATAAGCTATAGCAGCTAACTTAAATCTGTGTACAGAATGCTACGCATTTCTCTGGGGATATTCAACTGAATGAAGACAAGGAATGTAGATACAATGTATTCCCAGGACTGGAAAGATGTCAGGAAGCCAGGACAAGAGACTCCAATAATTTATGAGGTGCTTTGTTGAAATTAAAGCCAAAATCCTAGATGGGTAAAATGCAACTAAAATATGAAGAGGTTAAAGACACTAATAACAGGAAAGAGGAAGTCTAATGGAGGAATAAAACTATGAAGAGTAGAAATTGTGCTCAGGATTTTTAGAGTTGGATATATTATATGTCTAATATGCCTAGTGCTGATGTCTGAAATTGTCTCAATTGGTAACTAAAGAAATAATTGAAACTATCCAGTCTGTAAAATGAAAGTATTGGTAGTTTCACATATTAAAGATACTAGGAAGACTTAAGAGTAGAAGGAACAGTATAAATCTGTTAGAGAAAGAAGACATTAGCTTTTGATGGGACTGGTGGTTCAAGACAACACTGAGATGGATTTCTGTAGGGTAAGTAGACTCTTTGTGTATTCTCACTATTGCTGCCTCTGACTGCTCTTCTGGTGACTACTCTGTCTCACCTACTGTGAACAGGAGATTTACCCATTTACTATGTGACTCAAGCTCCATGTCTACTTCTCAATAACTTAGATCTGATTAGAACATGTGCATGAGATTCCCCACTGAGTTTTTCCTAGACTCCCAACAAATGAGGACTCTGCACAAACTTCATTTGTCTCTGTACCCTTTTGACCCACTCACTCTGTCTAATACCTAACCCAAGTCTGTGATGAGAATGATGGAAGAGTAAAAATGTAGATAGCTTCACCTAAGGGGCAGTTGGCAAGTCAGAGTGGAAAAACAGAAACATTCAAAGAACAGTGAAATGCAAGGGAACTTCTTTATTCCATTATTTAAAATCTCTAGCCCTAGCTTCTACACTCATGATCTCTCTGTGTGTCAGTTACTGCATCAACAAAGTCAATATAAACATGCGGTCAAACTCACAGGATAACTGTAGATATTAAATACAAAGCACAGAATCTACTAAATGTACTAAATAAATACTCTTACTGCTAGTGTGGTTAGCAGTGATGGTAACATGTATAAAAATATGTAGTCTTGCACAAAGTGGAATGTGTTGAGTTGCTGAATGCACTATAGTTACCACTTGTGACTCCTGATACCAAAAAGAATATGAGGGCCTCACATTTGTCATCTCTGTGTAGTAGGAATGACCTACATTCAAGTGATTAGTAAAGGTCTGTATTATTACAGAAATACTTTGTAAATTTGAGGACAGGACTATACATGAAACCAATGGAAATTTTTCACAATAAAATAAGCCCAGTAGAATAGGCTACTACAGATTTACACAATATCAAAAGAAATTTGGGGGCATAGAATTAGGTTTCCAGGGCTGAAGTTAGGAATGTTGAGGATTAGGAATATAAAGGATAAGGGAATAACTTAGAAGATTCCTGATGTAGCAATATAGAAACAAATATCCACAGGTGGTCTGCTAACACAGTGACAGGAGCCAATACATCCAAACAAGATAAGCACAGAAGCTCAGAAGGAAGAGAAACAATTCTGTTTAAATCTGGGCTCATTCCAGATGGTTCATGAATCCTAAGTTATAGGAAAATATAACTTTGAAAATGAAGAAACTTCCTCTTGAGTGTCCATTAACTTATCCCATACTCCTAGCTCTTGGGATTTTCCCTGAAAGTTTGGGTTTATTTTCAATAAATAAAGGTTTGATTGCCTGCATGTATGTAAATTGTTCACTTAAGAGACTTAGTCCTTTGCCTTTCTTACTTCTCTTTCTTGCTCTTTTTGAAAGGTAAATGGCCAAGACCTAAAGAACCTGCTACACCAGGATGCTGTAGACCTTTTTCGTAATGCGGGATATGCTGTGTCCCTGAGAGTACAGCATAGGGTAGGTATCATTTGCAGCCAGATGTGGGACAGTAGGCTTTCTCACTGCACTTGTGAATAGCTTGTGGATATAATTTTCAAAGTCTGTTTATTTTTTACTTTTGCTATTACTGGTGTGTAGAGTTTGTCTAGCATATGCAAGAGTCCTTTGGCATCAGTAAAAGAAGTATATAGCACTATACTTATAGCCCAGGTCCTACAATTTTTTAAAAAATAAAGTTTAATCAATTCAAAACGGAAAGACAGTAGAATCACTTTTACTTTTTCTTAGGAAAAGCATAATTTGTGTACCTTTGAAAACTCTTGTTTATGACTGCACAGGTTGTTTTCTGTCTCCCATTATAAGACTTCTCTTTCCATGACCACATTGACTGAGACCCAAGTGTAACTTGAAGGGCAGTTCCATCCTTGTCTCCCTCTCTCCCTCCCTCCTTCCTTCCTTTCTTCCTTCCTTCCTTCCTTCCTTCCTTCCTCTCTCTCTCTCTCTTCCTTTCTTTTTCTTTTTTTCTTTATTTTTTTGGGGGGGCGTTATTAAGGCAGGGTTTCTTTGTGTAGCTTTGGCTGTCCTGGAACTTACTCTGTAGATCAAGTTGGCCTCAAACTCACAGAGATCCTAAGTGCTGGGATTGAAGGTGTGTGCCACAACCGATCTACATTTGCTTATTATTTCCTGGTGTTTTATAATTTGGATGATAGGAAAGTCGTCTGAGTTCTTCCCACAGCAGCAAGAATTTCTGAGTTCATCTATAACCCAAATTCAGTGTGCCTATATTCTTTGCTAAGAAGCCAAGTGAGTATTCAGAGACTGAAGAAGATTAAAAGGAGCTAGAAAAAAACTGGAGAAAGCAGAAGCTAACTTGAACTACATGGTGAAACTCTGTCTTAAGGAAAACAAAAACTAAAGAAAAGAAAAATAAGAAAGGCAAAAACATGAAGCTATCCAAGAAACAACCAGAGTTTCAAACAGAATGTGGGTGTGATAGACTCGAAAATTAGGTTGATAGAGACAGTATTGGTCAGCATCTGCTTTTGCCATGGCTCGTCTCTGTTTCTAAAACGGGAGAATTCACGTAGGCATATAAATGATAGGCATATATTTCAGATATGATAAGGGTTCCTTTTGAAGGTATCTGGGAATTTATTTTCAGTGTTCACTTCAGGAAACATCCATAAATAACTTAGAATACAACAAGCTCTATTGGTCAAAAATTCACCCAACCCTGAAAATCATGTCTTTAAGTGAGCATGTCTTCTCAGGAAGAAATAAGTGATAGAGTATGTCCAGAAGATAGTTTGTGCAGTCTTGCTTTTCATTTGAAGGGGTTAAGGTTTCATTTGCTGTAGGTGGTTAAGTCTAACTGAAATAAGATGGTATTGTAGTTATTGCAAGTTAACTATCAAAAAATTGTTATTAAGATTGGCTACCCCTGTAAAACAGGACTGGAATGAAGAAAGACAGTCTAGCTATAAAAGGAAATTCTTGAGGGAATAGGAGCTGATAATGACTAGGATATAATTTATTTATCTCTTGAGTCTTTAATATCTACTCCACATAGATTCTACCTTTATCTGTGACTAGCATTGCAAACTTAGGCATGAATGACAAGACCCCATCTCAGGAGCAAGAGGGTAACTTGGATGCTGTAAAGCATTTCCAAGTAATGACATTGCAGCTGTGTTGCTACTGTCTGGATCTGCTCTTACTGTATTCTACTGACTGATATTCCAGAAAGAAGTCTTCCTTTCCTTCCCTCATCCTGCCCAGCAGTATCCAAATATCCTGATTGATCACAGGCTTCATCTCATCCCTTCATTTTCCTGATAGGAAGCATATATAGCAATAGAGGCATTATAGAAACAGATATGCTTTACTTTAACCTGTGAGGTCCCATTAAGTCAGTGCCAAGCAAGGTTAAATGCTTCATTTTCAGAACTGTTTTCTTCCCAGAGCGAAAGTGATGCATCCGCTAGGATAAGAGCTCTTGCTAGGCTGTGTGGCGTCTATAGCTTTGGGTGGTATAGACTACATCTCCAGGTAATTGTCAACATGGATCTTTTAGTTGTGTCATACGCAGTAGTCTGTTAATATTTCTCCTTCCTTTTCAGTTACCGGTGCAGAATGGACCTATAGTACATCGAGGTGAAGGAGAACCAAGTGGTATTCCTGTAGCTATGGTGCTGCTACCAGTGTTTGCCCTCACCATGGTCGCAGTTTGGGCCTTTGTGAGATACCGAAAACAGCTTTGAAATACTTGCTGTCTTCCAGTGTGTCCAATGAACTATTTCTCTTACTCGCCTTCCCTACCATTCTCCCATATCCTTTCTTCTATAGCCAACACATGATTTAAAGTGACTGATTACCTCCCAAAACCTTGCTGTTCAAACTTGCCAAGACTTCAAATTCTAATGGGAGAGAAAAGGTTTTATTTGAAGAAAAACTGGGGGGGGGGGGAGGGAGGGAAAAGCCTTGCTAAGAATGAATGAGAAGTTACGTAGAACTGCCAATAAAAATTCAGCTATCACCCAAAGAGGAAAAGCTCAGTCTTCCTGTTACCATGGATGACACCTTTTTCTTAGCTGGCGTGCTTTGAAGGCTAGCTGTGCTACATGAAAAGAGGAGCTGATTTTTCTTTTTTTCTTTTTCTTTTAATGCTTTTTCTTGGAAAATGTTTGTGATCTTTGATTTTTAACTCTATACCTAGATGCCTATATTGGACACAGGTGAATGAAGTTTTTTTTTTATTTTTTTAACTTTCTTCAAAAAGAAAACAGAGTAATAGACATGCATATATGATAATATAACATTGATGCCTTATAAGAGGTTAGAAAACCATACTGGTTCCTGAATTTCTAATGGACAATTTCTTGGGGACTAGGGGATCATCATATTCTTTCATATATAATCAAGACTCATATTGAACAATGAGTTCTGGATTGTAAAGAGAACTTACTTTTACACTTTTCTGCTGTCTTTGTCCACAAATTAAAAACATAAACAGTGCTAAGGGATAATTATAACTGAAGAATTTGAACAGCTTTTTGCAGAACATGTATAATGGGGATGGGAAAATTATCTTTAAAAGATATTCAATCAATGACATTAGGAAAATAATAACTGAAGCAGTTAATTGAAAACAAGTGTTTCACAGTAGGTATGGTGATGTAAATTATAATAAAACAGCTCTGCTCAAGTCAATCTGTTCAAGAGACTTTGAGGTATAAGGCCCAGCAATCTCTGACCTATTCTAGTTGGAATTCTACAGTGCTGTTGAGGGATCAGCTGGGATAGATATGGGCAGCAGTAGGGCCAAATGAACCAGAAAAGCCCAAAGTTGTCTTGATAGACAACTGAAAAAAAGATAATGCCTCAAGATAGCAATTGAACCCTCGCGGTTACTTAACAGTTTTCAGTTTCTAGTATCAGGCAAAACCTTAGGGAAAAACTGCCTTCCCCGTAGGATAGACCTGAAATCAGCTTGCTTCTGATTGCGTTAAGAAAAGAAGGCATGAATTGATGTGGTTTGTTTTTTATTTATTGTTTCCCCAAAAGCTTTAAAACACTAGTTTTGATTTTAATAAGTTAATGGATCATTTTTCAGAGAAGGGGAAGGAATCAGCTTTGTTTATTTGGTAGAGGGGGCAAGGATATTTGGTGAGTGTTCCTAAGGAAAGTCTGAGAACGGAATAGGAATGGATGATGCCAGAGAATAACATGGGTATTGCTTAGGAGGAACCATCTGTTCATGGAGTATCTAAACTGGTTTTAGAGTACCAAGAATAGTTGAACCATGCCTAATTTTTTAACAAAATAATTTCCATAGTCTAAATATATTGGCCAGACTGTTGTTTTGGCACAGATTATGAGTTTTCCTGGCAATCTAGCAAGTACTTAACAAGTATTGGTTGTGCATTAGCTTTGTCAAGACACCTGTACAAAAAAGGGAAATGAACTTTCTTTTCACTTCATCTGAAGGCATTGTGGTTACACAGCTAGGAAGAGAACAGTGTAAGTTATTTATGTAGTAGACAACAGAAGAAAATAGCTCCTGAGAATTGGAGTGTTCCATGGAGGAAGGGACAGGTTAAGGATCTTTAGATGCTAACCATGTAGAAAGAGCCTTCATAAATAGTTGAAAAGAGTCTATTAGTTTGAATAATAAATCAAACCAGTATGAAATGAAATGTTATGGAAACAATGTGACAACAAAGATGGTCACCAGGTGTTTTAAGGAATTCAGAAAAGGAAAGCTGTGGTGTGGTGGTGTCAGAGGAGAATGGAAAGGAAAGTCTTCAAAATCTGATGAGACTTTACCTCTGGGCAAACTGTTGATAAGGGAGAGATTGGCTTTAAACAATCTTCACAGAGCTAAGCCATTCAGGACTTTTGAAATTGATTTAGTAGCAGGAGTTATTGGAAGTCCCACAGAAGACACAAAACCATGCTGTAGTTCTTGTCACAACCGGCACCACTGTGGAGGCCCAGTGTCTGGTGCCCTCGTACTCAGTGGCATGTGTAACAGCTCTTACATGGGCTTACTTACCTCTAGTGTTCACCTCAGGGTTTGAAATTCATTGTTGAAAGACTGCACATATACAAAGTGAAACAGATGGCAAGGAAGATAGAAAACTGTTGTGTGTTGATACATGTACATAAAGCCATCCTTTGTGGGAGTGTTACTGTGGTTGATAGGGATTCGGATACACTTGGTCTCACTGGGAAATAAGCAGCACTTGACCAAAACATTTAAGATTTAGGCAAATACTTTCATATTTCACTTTTTGTTGTATTAAAACTAAAATTAGCATAAATGGGATGTAAATCCATTATAGAGTGTAAACAATTTATGTTCCTCGTAGACTGACTCTTAGTATTCCTTCCACTTCATAGACTATCTTTGATGCTCCTGCCACATAAATTATAATGTTTAAAGTTTTGAAAACTGATTATAGGTAAACTTAAAGTATTTCTTGTATTTATCATTGTGTTTTATTTGTAATTCTAATAGATATTCTTTGCTTCAGTTGTTCCTGTTTCTTTTTCTTGCAGTTTTCTTGTGAGTAGTTTCATGTAATTAATTGTACCTTCTAGCCACAGGCAACAGATAAAAATAGTATTTGTAATTACAGTCTATGCCAAGGACTACACTAAATTGAATGGTGACACTATGTATTAACTTGAGATGCACGTCTTGCTATAAAGAGACTAGAATGAGAGAATAAATTATTTTCCTAAGATTATATAGGTGGTTATAGAATTAAAATTTAAACTCGGGACTTTGGATGACAATACAGTCAATATTCCCTTTGCTAACAGTTCTCAAAGCAAGGTCTCTGGACAAAAGCATCAGTATTCCCTGCAGATTCTTGGGCGTCATCCCATACTTAAGAAGTGAGATGAGCATGGCAACCAGAACTCTGTCTTTCTAAGTAACTGACTTATGCTGAAACTTGAGATTCACCACTCTCAGGAGCTGTTCTCAGGTTAGAATCACTTGGACAGCTGGCCAACCCACATTAAATAAGGACCTCTGGGACTAGGACTTGGATAACAATAAAATGTTTCATCAGGTGGCTAAAATGTGCAGCCTCTATTGGAAATGTTCCATGGCATTTAAATTATCAGATCATCTGCAGACGAGGCTCTAACCAGAATCAACAACTTGCCTAAGTTCAGAGCCCAACTCTCTGAGCAGTGGAGTAAGAAGTGTACATTGTTTACTCCTGTGTGCTCAGACAGACCTATCAACCTGTAGTAACATTTGTGCAACCAATAAGAACCAAATCATAGGAGAGTCAATCTAAAAGACTCTTGGGTAAAATTTGTATTAGAAGTGAGAAAAAAGTTGATTTTTTGGTCTCCACTACAAGGATACATAAAAGATTATTTTAAAATTTCATTTTGCTTCTGACTTTTCTCATTGAATTTCAATAAAGACCAGAAGAACTAATAGACAGCTAAAGAGAATTGAAGACATCAAGATTGGAATGGGAGAGTATATTGAACAATCCGAGAAAACCAATCACATGCTGTCTTAATTTCACTAGTTTAAAATCAGATATAGGCTGTTGGTGGTACTTTTGTTTTTATTGTGCAACTAAACAATTAAAATATATTTAGAGGCCAAGCATAATGGTCCTTGTTTTTAATCCCATCATTTAGGAGGCAGAAGCAGGCAGATTTCTGTGAGCTGGAGGTCAGCTCTGTGTGTGTGTGTGTTCAACAAATATTTTATTCTACCCACTTTTAGTAGAAAACATCTTTGATAAAGATTTTTTTCTTCATTCAGCAGATAACTATCATCACAGTGCAGAAGTACATAAAATTTAGTCACTAAAGTGAAATAGCCCCGCATCTGTGAGTAGGTGGTCTTGGTGTCAATGTCTCTAATGTCACTGAGAAGTACACACTTTGATTTCTTAAGCTCTCTGCCTTTCCCAGTAGTTTAAGGGTTGGCTGTTAACCCAGGCTAAGCCTTTTTTGGTGTTTCTTTTAACTGCAAATTTTTTGTGAGAATAACTCTCACAGCCTACAGTGAATTTATGATTAAGGGATGTCATCGGGGGCAGGGAGACGACAGTATTTTAAAGAATTCTGCCCACTGGGAACCAGATTGTAAACTGCCATTGACTCTTGTGTTGATACCTATATATGGAACACAAAGCACGTGACTGTTTACCTGATGCACTTGATACTATAAAAATTGGCAGAAGAAAGCACTATTGGTGTAAGGAATCTAGCTCCAATAAACACTAATGCCTGTGACTGTATATTCCCTCATTGTTATGTTCCATTTTAACAGAGGAGAAAGGAAGAGAAGAGGACTGATGTAGGTTTTCACATGCAAACTGTTGTTATTAATCAGCAGATTGATATACAAAAGAACTATATAAATATATTGACTAGTCACAGGAAAATGGAATGATCCTTTTTCATAGTTCATAGATTTGCAAATGAAGACAGATTAAATCCTGTTTTTGTTTTACTTCCGTGTCTCCAGTGCAAATTTGAATTATTATTACTGGATATTTGTATACCTTACAGGCTATTCAGTTCTTGAAAAATTATTTTCCTGAAATGCCTTATGTTGTTCCTTTCTGCTCTGATTCTTATGTCCCCTTTGCGTCTCCAAATGTAAACAGCAGCTGTTTCACAGGTTAGATGCCTGAGAGCTACTTGGAAAACAAGTAGGCATAAAATCACATTAACTAGGAAGATTCACCACAGATCTGATGTTAATGCTGGTTTCAACCTCACTGTTCAATACCAGTGCATCCAGATTTTCCTATTGGACTTGACATTCAATAAAGACCTGTTGAACTTGCTTGAGTATCTATGGTCTTTGATTTTTTTTTTCTTTTGGAGACTATTAAATAACTATGTCCTTGTTTTTCTGTCACTTTAAACCAACAACTGATGGGATAATGGGAAGAGGAAAGACACCTAAATTTGAAGCTTACTTTTGACAAAATAGGTTAAACACTAGGATTCAGCACTGTGAATAGAGGTGCTTAACAATTGCTGTATGCTCACCAGTGTTGCAGGTATTATCTGAAGCCCTTAACATTTCACTAAAGCTTAAAGAATAGCTGTTATGTTCTTTTTATGATGAGATGAACAAGGCATAAAAAACGCAAGAAACTTACCCAAGTTACACAGTTACTAAGTGTCAGCTAGGATTTAAAGCCAGGCAATCTGACTTTCAAAACACTATGGCTCTACTTTCCAGGTGCTAGATGCTGTATTTTGCTGCATTTTCTTCATATCAGATTCTCAAAATTCCAAGGCAGTACACAAATAGTCTCATCTGTATAGATAAAATAGCTTGATGTTTAAAGAAAATAACTTGCCCCAGATGTATAGATATTTAGTTACCAGATCTTGTAGTTTATTTCAAAACAGTGAGGACTCCTGTAGTCTTGAACTACTTTAGAAAATGAAAGCTTATACTATAATTAATTTGATACTATCATGCTGTTACATTTTTTCCATGATGGGCCATAAT